GATAAAGACGAAAGACTGGATTTTATCTGTCTAAGATCTTCTTTTACGCTAATGATTCTTGCTACATCTATTATTTCACTTGCTTGCTGAATAAGATCTTGTTTTTTAGTCTCTTGACCTATTTCTGCAGTTCTTAAGTGAGTGTCTTTTAAAAGATCTTTTATATTCCTTATTTCACTTAAGATTTCTTCTTGGTTTTCAAGGATTCGTAGTAGCAAAATAATTTGGGTATTCTGCCATCCTACTAATACCTGATCTTGGACTGTTAAGGGTTGAAAATTGGTTCATCCATAGGGATTTCCTAATTTTCCTGCTTCTCCTAAAGCTTCTTTGTAGTCTGAATTTTGAGCGAAAGAAGTTTCACCCATTCAACCCAAGAATTAATCTTTGAAGTTTTTGGACCTGTTTAAACAACTCTTCTTGATTTTGGATCAAGGTGGCTGTTTGATGATAGAGGTTTTGAACAAATTGATCTGGTCCTTTGTTATTCAGAAATTGAGAATTAATTAAATTGACTTTGTTTTTGACAAATTCAATTTGTTGTTGCAAGTAGTCTTGATTCTCAATTAGTTTCACAATATTTTTGTTGTAATGCTTTTCAAAGTTTTGGAACCTTTCGAGCACTACTTTTTCTTTTTCTTTTTCTTTTTTATAATTTTCTGAAAAATTTATAATTAGGTCTACAATACTATTTAACTGGCTATTATCAGAATGTAAATTATGGCTAAAACCTGGAAAACTACACACTATATTATGATTATCTAAAGTTGCTTTTGGTTTTTTATAAGATGTGAAATAGCTAGATCTAAATAATCTAAACTCATAAAGATAATATCAACGGATAATAATATCAACAGTAACAGATAATAATATCAACAGTAACAAAAATAGTAATAGATAATAATATCAACAGTATTTATTTGACGTAGATAGACAAAGCAGATAAGTAAAGGATAGCTATACAAAAGAAAGCCAGATATTAACAAAAAGACAAAATAGTCCACAAATGTTGACCAAATAGTAACTAAATAGTAACCAATTTTGACCAAGCAATTTCTTACAAAGAAGATTAAGTACGTAGATGGGAAAAGGTGGCAATTTACAAAATGTTGACTTTTAGCAAATTATATGACTTTTAACACTAGTAGTCTGACACTAAAAGAAATTTTAGACAAGAAGATTTCTACTGCAATCTTAGATCTGAAAGAAAACTATAAGACCAACACAACTGACACAAATTAATGCAAAGTTGATTTTTAACACCAAACAGATAGACTTTCGTAAAAGCAATATGTAGAATGTTAACAAATAATTTATAAGGCAAACTAGACAATGAAGATATAGTTGTCTTTGGCAAAGAGTTTGGTCTGTAAACTAGAATTTGTCCACTTTCTATACCACATACCCATATGTAAATGAAAAAGCTCTGATACCATTATATTTTCGATCCCTTTCTTTACCCATTAATTCATTATCTTTCCAAGTTTTTCAAAACCCAGTGACCCCCCTCTTTCCCAAGAAAGCTAGTGACCAACCCAATCAAGAAAACTTGATTTCCAAATCCCTGGTGATTTCTCCTAAAACGCCATCCTCGGCTTCAAAAGGATACTTTCCAGTAGGGCTAGGTAGTAAAGAATTTCTCCTCTACCAGGCTATTCAGGTTTAACTTTCTTACTCTCCACAGTGGTGTAGGTCATGAAAAACAATTATCTTTCCTTTTTAAAGATCTTTGTGAAAGAAGTCGAAAACAACCTGAAACAGGAATCCTTCATCTATATATAAGTATATGAATATAGAATAATGAGACAAACAAAAGTTACAGACTATTTTCTTTGCCAAAGATTTGTGTTTAAGCTAAATAACACATTAAAGGAAATAACATGAGATATATTTTATACATACTTGAAAGAGTGAAGATTACAAAGGATTTGAGCTGAGTACAACCTTTGAGCAGACTCTCTCTTTTTCTACTTCCTAATCTTTCTACCTTTCGTTCCAACCGTGACTTCTACTTCTAAGAAGGCATATTTAAAGAAAGAAAAACTAACCTGGGTTACAAAGTAACTGCAGTAAAAGTAACCCTAGTTACATAAAACTAACTATGGTTAACTAACCTTAAGGTTATTTACAGAGGTAACTGAAGTCGATCATCTTTATCTTTTGGGAAAGATAAAAAGTAATCGGCTTTTGCGGAACATGTCTCATGACAGTCACTTTGGAGTGAGGCATGCCTGTTCCTTTGTCTGACTTATTATCCCTCCATTTGATTTTCGAGATTTTCCCACCCAACTGAATCAAGATCATCATAAAAGGCTATATCCTCTGGATCATCTGGGTAATCATTGGGAAGGTCGTCACCCAAATCAGCGTCGCGATATTCGTATTGATCTTCACCATTTTTATATTCCTCAGAGTAATTATCGAGTAGCTGAGTGTAGCTTGTCTGAGGTGAGAAGGAAATCTCTCTTTGACTCTAACTATGAATAAACACATCAGGATCAAGATAAATTTTCTGAATACTGTCCTCAGTAAAAAGGGTGTATCCAGTTGAAAAATCATCTCCCATGACCTGCATGTGGGCCATTGTTCTAGCTCTCCAGTGTCTGAGTTGTTTTGTGAGGGACTGAGTAGTGGATGGCCAGGCTTGAACATCTCTGTAGAGAGGCAGTAAACTGCTCCTTCTCCTTAAAATAATTTTGTGCTGTGCCGGGAGCAAATGTCTACCCTTCCATTTAGGGGCCTTGCTTTGAATCAATGCCTTAATGTAGTTGGGAGGCATGCTTTCTAAGACAGCAATGGCAAATCTTCTTCCAACAAGATCAATATCCGCCATTTTTGTAAAGATTAATTGATAGAGAAAACCATAATCAAGGAATAACTGTGGAGTTAACTCAATGATTTCCCTTTTATATAAAAACTGGATGGGTTCATAGGAGGATAGATCTAGAGAAACTCTGCAAATGCTATAGACGAGTTGACATTGACAGTCATATCTATCAAGTGGAATCCCCTCTGCAGTTTCTCCTTCACACCTATTACACCTTTTGAGTTTTCCTTCTGTAGTAGAATAATAGGTGTCCCATGTGAAGCCTATACCAGATCGGTTAATACCATCTTCGGCTATCTGTTGAAGGAATTGTTGAATTGCCTTCAA